TTTTTACGTATATTGTATAGTGTGTAGAAAATTTTTTCTTGTGAAATCCGTAATTTCATGCCTTTCTCAGCAGACGTCAATTGAATATTAAATCGTTTTTACATCTGTGTTGTTTTATTTCTGCGGCGTCGCGTGCGTTGCGTGCGTGCGTCGCGTGCGTTGCGTGCGTGCGTTGCGTGCGTCGCGTGCGTCGCGTGCGTTGCGTGCGTGCGTCGCGTGCGTTGCGTACGTGCCTCGCGACCGTTGCGTGCGGCGTCGTGGCGCTGTCGTATTCGCACCCTTCCTGGGAACGCAGGACGCCAGGACGTCATTTGGGCTCTGACATGTCACTCAAATCGATCGGTGGTGGTGGTGGAGTCTGCCAATCTTTGAATTCTCCTTCAGTGCCATCATTAAAAATCAATTTTAATTTGTATCTCTTTGCTTCATCGATTGCTATGGAAAACGTATTTAGCTTCATATTATTTACCACCGAGAAATTCATCTTTCGCCATTCCGTTTGATTATCAAAACGTATCGCCATCTGTTGTACGCCCAACGGTACATTGGTATACAGTACGTTGTTTAATATAGCCGTAAGTATAATGAAATTAGCCTTTAAGATGGTCATATTTGCGTCGGTTGGATTCTTCTAGGATGATATCTCTCAATATCCTCCCAAAGACTTAAATTTGATAGGTCTTTTAAAACTTGTTTTTTATCTTCATATAATTTTATGTCTCTTCTTAGTTTTTGAACTTTTATACCAAACTCTTCAATTCTACGTCTATTCTCTTCGCTAGACATTTCAATACTGAATACTTATTTTACTAATATTGTCGGGTGTAGGATACGCCTCCTCTCGGAGATCTAGGTTGTTAACGTTGACGCTCGGCCAACCCAGCTGTAGTAGTAGCAGTAGTTATTGTACCCTCGATACTAGCAGAAACTAACAGTCAAACGTCAAACGTGAAACGTCAAACGTGAAACGTCAAACGTGAAACGTCAAACGGTAAACGTCAAACGTGAAACGTCAAACGTGAAACGTCAAAACGGTAGACGTCAAACGTGAAACGTCAAACGTCAAACGTGAAACGTCAAACGTCAAACGTCAAAACGGTAAACGTCAAACGTCAAACGTCAAACGTGAAACGTCAGTCGTTAAACGTCAAACGTCAAACTTTTCGGTGCCCCTCTCTCTATATAACCCCCTTTTTCCCGTTTAAATCGGACCAATAGCAGTGAAGATATACGCTAAGGTCCTTATGGCATTGCGCATGATTTTTTCTTTTCAACTTTAATCTATATCACGCTCTCTTCATAATGCCGTTTTTCCCATTTAAATCGAACCAACGATAGCTGAGATACACGCTAAGGTCCTTTTGTCCTATCATTGCGCATGATTTTTCTCTTGTATGTTAATCTATATCACGCTCTCTACATAGCCCCCTTTTCCCCATTTAGATCGAACCAACGATAGCTGAGATACACGCTAAGGTCCTTTTGTCCTATCATTGCGTATGATTTTTCTCTTGTATGTTAATCTATATCACGCTCTCTACATAGCCCCCTTTTCCCCATTTAGATCGAACCAACGATAGCTGAGATACACGCTAAGGTCCTTTTGTCCTATCATTGCGCATGATTTTTCTCTTGTATGTTAATCTATATCACGCTCTCTACATAGCCCCCTTTTCCTCATTTAGATCGAACCAACGATAGCTGAGATACACGCTAAGGCCCTTTTGTCCTGTCATTGCGCATGATTTTTCTATTCGACGGTAATCTGTACCAAGATCTCTTCATAATGCCGTTTTTCCCATTTAAATCGAACCAACGATAGCTGAGATACACGCTAAGGTCCTTTTGTCCTGTCATTGCGCATGATTTTTCTCTTGTATGTTAATCTATACGCCGATCTCTACGTAATGCCGTTTTTTCCCGTTTGAATCGGACCAATAGCAGTGAAGATATACGCTAAGGCCCTTTTGGCTTTATCACTACGCAAAAATTCTATTCGACGAAATCCTGGGGCCACGGGCAGCTGTCTAACGACCGTTTTTGGCAAAATGGTGCGGTTTGGTTAGATGTCTTTTCGCAAAATGATGAAAATGGCCTCGTTTACGTGAACGCCATATCTCGTAGGTTATTTGTCTTTTCGCAAAATGATGAAAATGGCCTCGTTTACGTGAACGCCATATCTCGTAGGTTATTTGTCTTTTCGCAAAATGATGAAAATGGCCTCGTTTACGTGAACGCCATATCTCGTAGGTTAACCTTCACTCTTACACGTTGAATTCCCTATGTGAGGCCATGGTCACTTTGTCTATCTACTTCCTTGTTTTTCGCATCATAATGAGAGAGAAAACAACAGAGACACACATTTACTGTGCCCATCTTTCACTTAATTTCGTAATTCTCGGAACGTCGCTCAACGCCCGGTCGTCCAGTGTCGTGCCAACGCGGTTTGCGCTGAATATTAGATAAAATAATAATAGGCATTGAGGAAAATATAAAATATGTAAGTTTTTTTTTGGTTTATTATACTAGGGCACGTGCCCAAGTGCCCTTACGGGCAAACCGCCACTGCTAGTTATAATAATTAATTTTATTATTAACCAATTTTAAGTAATGACAAAAAAAATAGAATATAAAAAAGAAAGGAAAACAATAAAAGCTACAGATGATAATTAAATTGCATAACATTAAATCTGTTAGTAATATCAGTTTTCAGTACTTTAATCTTCTACTACATCGTTATCATCTTCATTTTTCTCTAAGTCTCAGATTATTATCACATGCTCTGTGAATATCATCAGTAACTTTAAGTAATGCTGTGGTACAGCTTAAGCCACTGCGAAAACCAGACTGACTGAAAGGAAGTAGATCAAAAGTGCATAAATATTTTCTAATTTGTTTGTTTAGAATTTTTTCAAACACTTTGGTTATGCAACATAAAACACTTATGAGAAGAGGAATGACATATGATTTCTTCCAAAGGTTAGGAAAATAAGCGTTTATTAGAATAAAATTAAATATATGAGTTATGTAAGGGATAATGAAAGGACATGAATATAATAATATCTTAATTTTGTCCACACCCACGGCTTGTGTTTTTATTGATAACATTTGTTTGTAACATTCCTCATCGGATATATGACTGAATGAAAAATTTCCTTCGTTTAGAATTGTCGTGTTTTGATAAAATATTAGTAGATCATCATCTGGTACTTTATTAGAATTAGTAATGTTAATGAAATATTTATTAATTTCTTGAACATTGCATAAATTCTCAGGTATATCTGTTACTGGTTTACTGTGTACATTAAGTTTTTTTAATTCCTTTCAGATGTTAAAATGTATTGCTTATGACGCTTTAATGTTCTAGTTGCATTTTAATAACTGTACCATAAACAATACAAGTACCTATAACTTAAAATAAATCAAAATTTATTTTGAAAAGGATGATTCTAAAATGTCTTTATTGTCAAACCTTGATTTTCTGAGATTTCTAGGTTTTTGTTTGTGATAAAGTTTTCATATTGTTTTATTAGTTTTGATAACTCATAACTCCATTATAAGTTTAATTAATTTTAAAAATTAAATAATTATTTTTCTCTATTATGATTTGATAGTCGTAGAAAAAACGTGTATGCTACAAAATGTCTTAGTTCAAACAGTTTTGAAAATTTATAAGATTTGTTATTTGATTTTTATAATTATTTAGTTAAATATGACTGACTCTCATCCCTAATATTTCCATAATATGGCAAAATAAAACCGTAACAGTAGATATGCTCGATGTTTAGGTGATGGTATTTTTAAAAACTATTTGGCCTGCCTCTGTCCAGGACAATTTTTCTAGCATTCCTGAGATTTTTTTAAACATCCCACTGCTTTGTTCATATTCTTGTGACAACACAAAAGGGTCCTGGACCAATAGAAGCCTCTGAGGCCCCTTCTCGAGCTAGTAACTCAGTCTCTTCGTTGCCCTTATGTTCTCTGTGGCCTGGTACTTAGGCTAAGGTTAGTCTGTTTTGACTACCCATCTCTGTTAGGGCTTCCAAAAAGTCCCACGAAAGCTTTGAGTGTTCTTGCATAACGTCGCTTGACTGTCTGAGTATGTATATGACAATGGTTTTTCCATTTAGCTTATGTGTTAACACCTCTTTTTCTGCTATTTCTGTCAGGAATACTGTCGTATGTTTACCTAAGCTCAGTGTGATTTTTGTCTTTAGCTTAGTACTTACATTATTTCTTACATTACTTCTTACACTATTTCGTACAATATTTCTTACAGTACTTCTTACAATACTTCTTACAATATTTCTCACAATACTTCGATCAATAATTCGTACAATACTTCTTGCAGTACTTCTTGCAGTACGTCTTACAATACTTCGTACAATACTTCATACAATACTTCGTACAATACTTCGTACACTACTTCGTACATTACTTCGTACAATACTTCATACAATACTTATTACAATACTTATTACAATACTTCTTACAATACTTCTTACAATACTTCTTACAATGCTTCTTACAATACTTCTTACAATACTTCTTACAATACTTCTTACAATACTTTTTACAATACTTCTTACAATACTTCTTACAATGCTTCTTACAATACTTCTTACAATACTTCTTACAATACTTCTTACAATACTTCTTACAATACTTCTTACAATACATCTTAAAACCTTCTTACAATACTTCTTAAAACCTTCTTACAATACTTCTTAAATATTTCTTACAATACTTTTTACAATACTACTTGTAACAAAGTTAGTAGCTCAGCATACATATAACGAGTATGTGGAGAGTTAGAATTTTTCCCGTGAGATATTTTTTAATTTCTCAATAAATTTGTTTTCGCTTTGGGAGTTCGAAAATAGTTTTAATTATTTCGTAGAGGTAACTTTGAAACATTTATTTAAACATTTCCAAAGAATTTATATAAATACTTCTTTGTTGTACAAACACAAACTATAACTATTTTAATCTGTTTTCAGTTATGAGCGCGATAGCAGGACCCCTCTACGGACTGGGAGCTGAAGCATTCAACAGTTTGGCAGTTTTCCTGCCGACATTAGTAGCAGCGATAGCATATTTTCAATACGAACAATCGGACCCTGAAAGTAGACCTATAGACGTTGCATCTGAAGAATTGCTCGACAGATATGATTTTATAGTGATTGGAGCAGGTTCTGCGGGTAAACAATTTTCTAGTAAATATGAAACAAAAAGTAACGTATAACTTTCGTATATTTTATATCTAGTAGTATTTATTAGTATAAAGGTTTTATTGTTATTCTTATTAAATTAATTTATTTTTATTTAACAATATTTTATTTTCATTCAAATAGAGATTGATGGAATTAAAGAAAGTGGCAACCGTTGTTTGATTTTTACGAATATTTCTGTTACCACATACAGTGTGGTGATAAAGTAAGGAACAAAATTCATAATTGTATTATTTAATGTTTTTAATCAAAACGCACGGAGAGCTCAATTTTAATATTTAATTAGCCTCCTTATGGCATTAACTTTTTAAATTATGTATTGTTTCGGCCTTTACTTGATGAAAATCCATTTAATTTTGAAAGAGTAAAACCAAATTTGGTAGATTTTCACACTTTTAATTTTAAAAATAAAATTTTAAAAAAAAAAAAAAACACTAACATGACATATGTTTCGAAGTACAACTTCTTTTTCAAATGTGACTATTTACAATTCGGTATCCAATATATATACGAAATAATTTAACAAAACAAAGTACTTAAGAAAACATCAATAACATTACAAAATAAACTAACTATTTAAAGTAAATAAGGGTATTTAGGTAATTATAATATCCATCAAATAACAATAAGATAGCCCATTACCGGGATTATCTCACAGAAAACTGGGAAAGAGGTTTAATAAGGGTGAATTATTAATATCTAATTGATCATTTAGTAAGTTATCTGAATTTTTAAATCTATTTATTTCAAGTGTTTCTAAATGGTTTAATTTAAGGCTCTTATTTTCTACATGTAAAATTTCAAAGTTGTCTGTAAAAGAATGATTTTCAGCTAAAATATGATTTGAGTAAGTAGAATTATTTTTGTTTTTTGTATAGCTATTATAATGTTCGGAATAGCGTTTTTTGAAAGTACGGCCTGTTTGACCAATATACAATTTTGGACAACTACCACAATTTAATTTATATACCCCCGATTTATTATTAGGATTAATTTTACCCTTATTGTTTTTAATATACTTCCCAAGCGTATTATTGGTTTTAAAAGCTACGTTAATATGTTGGTTTTTTAAATATGATGATACCTTTTCACTAGGAGCTCCTATATATGTAAGACTCTTATATCTGCAATTTGGATCTTTAATTATGGGATAAACTTGTTGAATAGCCTGTTTAAAAAGTTTTTTCTCTAAAATGTTGTCTACTAACTTTGAATTAAAATTATTATTTACTGCGATTTGTTTAATGATATTTAATTCTTTTGTGAAGTTCTCTTTGGTAAGGGGAATATTAACTAATCTATGGATCATACTGTTGTATGCTGCCAGCTTTTGTTTGTATGGATGAGATGAACTATTATTTATTGTAATATCCGTATGTGATGGCTTATGAAATATCCCAAAACTATGGCCTTTATTATTTTTAATAATATTTAAGTCTAAAAAATTAATTGAATTATCCTTCTCTGTTTCCATAGTAAATTTAATATTAGGGTGTATAGTATTGATAAAAACTAATAAAGAATTTAACTGTCTACTAGTACCAGTAAAAGCAGTCAATATATCATCAACATATCTATGCCAATACAGACAATGTTTACTTAAATTATTGCTATGAATTTTATTTTCTATATTATCCATAAATATTTCTGCAAGCAACGGGCTTAATGGGTTCCCCATAATAAGACCTTCATTTGCTGAGTAGATGTTATTTTGAAATTGAAAATAATTTTGTTTTAGGCAAATGTTTAACAAATTTAGGATTTCTTCTTTGATTATAATATTGACTTGGATTACGATCTAATAAGTTTTCTACTAGCTTAACTGTTTCTTTAGGAGGTATACTAGGAAATAAGTTTGTTACATCGAACGATACTAATTTTGTGTTACTAGGTAATTTAATGCTTTTTAATTTTTCTGTTAATTCATAAGAATTTTTTTATACTATACTTAGAATTGAATTTGCAGTTTTCTTGTATAAGTTTAATTAATGTGTGTGAAAGTTTAACTGATGGAGCCGTGACAAATGACACAACTGGTCTAATAGGATAGTTCTCTTTGTGTAATTTTATTAAAGAATAAAGTTGTGGTGGTTGAGGGTTCATTTGTATTAGAATTTTTCTCTAGAATCAAAAATTGCTGTTGAAATCTGAATATTACGTTTTAGTTCTTTTTGATATTTATCTGTTGGATCAAATTTGAGTATGCTATAATTATTACTTGCTTGTAAAAATGAAAGAGTTTTGTCAATATAATCTATATTATTAATAGCAATTACTGTATTTCCCTTATCGGCACGAGTGAAAATGATATCATCCTGTTTTGTTTTATCCTTTATAGTTTTAATTAACTTACTGTCTTGATTTGAATTGTTATTACGTAAAAATTGTGTTTTAATTATATTTGCAGTATGATATTTGTGAGACAAAGTGTTATTGATGTTTTCTTAAGTACTTTGTTTTGTTAAATTATTTCGTATATATATTGGATACCGAATTGTAAATAGTCACATTTGAAAAAGAAGTTGTACTTCGAAACATATGTCATGTTAGTGTTTTTTTAAAAATTTTTATTTTTAAAATTAAAAGTGTGAAAATCTACCAAATTTGGTTTTACTCTTTCAAAATTAACTTTTTACTTATGACGTCATGTATTTTTGCACAATGACGTCATTATTGGTTTTTTTAAATGACAACCCCTTATTTTTTTTGCTGTTTTTAATAGATGGTCCAATTACTTAAATGATGGTGTAAAAAAATTGATCAAAATTTAAATTTAATGAAAGGAAATCCTAATAATACCCCAAAACCAAACAAAATTTAGCGCAGATGTTCAAATTACTCTTCTTTGACCATTTCGCATTGACCAATATGAGTGTAAACACATTTTTGTGCAAATTACACTAGTTTACATGGTTTTTGTCCTTGAAATGAAAAGTGTCTAAAAAATATATGAAAAATATCCAACACGTCACGTTTCCAAAATATTTATTACGTTTGATTTACAAAAAAATGCCTACAAAAATATTTTAAAAAATTAAAAATGTTTTGCCTTAGCTTTTTTCTTGTATTTATTTAAGTATTTGTCTCTTATAACAGACCAGCAATAATCACCTAACATGGCTTGATAATTTTGTTCAAAAAATTTCAAATCCTGATGAAAACGCTCTCCATGTTCGTCGCTGACTTCTCTGAAATTTTTAGGGAAGAAATCGAGGTGCGAATGAAGGAAATTAATTTTTAGAGACATGCTGACACCCATTCGTTGAAAATTATGTAATACATCAACAATTAACTGTCTGTAATTTTAATTTTTTTTGTTGCCTAAAAACTCTTTTATAACAAGTCGTAGTGAATTCCAAGCAGATCTTTCAGTATCAGTAAGACTGTTTTCAAATACCTCATCCTTCAACATTTTTTTGATTTGCGGTCCGATACACACAAACACAAAAAAAACAACAATATTTTTATATTTATATTTATAGGCCCAAAAGTAAACCCACAATTTTTAAATTACTACAGACGATCCAATTGTGATCTTTGTATTTAATAATTTCAATTAGTGTTGATATCGTTTCATATGTTTCATTGTTATTTACTGCGTGACCTATCGGAATAGAGAGCTTCTTGTTGCCGTTATGTAGAAGGACTGCTTTTAAACTAGTCTTCGATGAATCAGTGAATAACCTCCAATCTTCTGGCTTATAAGGTTGCTGCATTTCTTTGAAAAGCTCAGCTATATCATAACAGTATCAAAATTCGTTTTCTTTCTTGAAATATGTTGTAAAACATTCACTTCGCTTACGATACATAGTAACTCTTGTGTTGGGAGCAAGTAACCTCCATTGTTGGAGTCGTAAACCTAGTAATTCAGCTTTGGATTTCGATAAGTTTAAATCTCTCACTAAATCATTCAGTTCAGACTGAGTTATCATATGTGGTTCTTCATTAACATCAACCAATTCATCTGAACTTGTGTCACTTTGAATTTAATCTTCTTTGGATTCCGTGTTAGTCATCGATGTTGTGCTGCAACAACCGGGAGGATCTGGAACTTGCTTGTCTGAGCTGTAGATAAGTTTAGTAACCGAAGGAACATCTGCATATATAGTTTTATTTTTGTTCTTTTGATTAAAACCAAATGTCTTAGTGAGACAGAAGTAACAGTCATTTTCGTGGTTGGATGGTTCACTCCATCTCATTGGCATATTAAAATTCAAAAATCTTTTTGCACCTGCAGCCCAGGAGCTTAGCGTTTTTCTACATCTTTCACAAAAAACGTGAGGAGCCCATTTTTTGTCCTGGTGAGAAATTTTGAAATAACAAAAATATGCTTCTTTTAGAGATTCCGTTATGGGATATCCTTTATTAGATATAATAATAATAATAATAATAATAATAATAATAACGTCTTTATTATTTCTATAAAAATACAAAACAAAATATAATTATTTTATAATAAAACAAAATATAGAAATAATGGGCGAAGTTCATCCTTTGTAAATGTTTGATCATTTACAAAGCATGTTCTACCACTTAACCCTTAAACCCCTAAACCCCAAACAATCTATACTAAATGGTAATTTTTAACGAATACGAAAATGTTTGTATATTGCTTGTATATTGCTTGAACACAAGAAAGTCTGTTTGATGTTTAATGTAGATCTCTAAACTAAATCTCTGAATTGAACAACTGGTTTTTTGATCATTGATCATTGATCATCACAAAACGTAACAAAAACGGTGAGGATGTACTTTACACAACCTTTTTGACATTTTAAAAACAAATATTTATTTAACTGAACTCTACAATGAAGCAAAATTTTACAATGAATTCAGAGTCAACTTGTGGGTAGTCTTAAAATAAAATGTGTTGATAGCTCGATACTCTGACGTAATAAAAATAAAACAAATATATGTTTGCGTTTAGTTATTGTCACTAAATAAAACAATATGAAATTCACTGGAAGGACATGAAATTTATTAAATTTTGTAAACTAGTGTTATCATTATCACGTCTGTACACTTTTGACCGATTTAGCAAGTTTTTTAAAAGCAAATTATCTTTGTCATTAACAAAAAATGCCACGTTTAACTGAACGGGAAAGAATAGAAATTTTATTAATGGTTGGATATGGTGATAAGTTAAGAACACATCAGAAGCATATGAATTATTCAAAAAAGAACGCCCTAATAGACCGCCTATTGTAAGATCTACAGTAAGTAAATTGGTTACCAAATTTACCGAAACGGGATCTGTCCATGATTTGCCTCGGCAAGGTCGGCCTCCAGTAAACGATAAAACCAGATTAAATGTGTTACTTGAAGCTGAAGAAAATCCTCACCAGTCTGCAAAGCAGCTAGCCTTAAATAATAATGTTGACCACTCTTTTGTCATGAGGTTGTTCAAGAAAGAAAACTATCATCCTTACAAGGTTCACTTGATTCACGAATTAAACGAGGATGATCCAGACCGCCGCCTACAGTTTTGCGAAGAACTAATGTTACGCTGCGATGGAGACCCCAATTTTTTAAATATTATCCACTTTTTGCCTGAATGGAACATTACATCGTCATAATTGCAGGTATTGGTCAAGAGAAAATCCTCACTGGACTCGAAGACTCTCACAGTCAACGCCGAGGGAAACTAAATGTTTGGATTGGAATAATCGGACGGCGTTTAATAGGGCCTTACTTTTTTGAAGGAAACCTTACAGCAACACGTTATTTGGCCTTTTTGCGGTTTGATTTAGTGTCAGCTCTGTCAGTTATGTTTCCAAATGATCACGAAGCAAATGTACCCCATCAAAATATTTGGTTTCAACAAGATGGGGCGCCTCCCCACTTTGGAATAACCGTCCGTCAATATCTTGATGCCACATTTCCCGGAAGGTGGATAGGACGTCGAGGAGCAATTGAGTGGCCACCGCGTTCCCTAGACCTGACTCCCTTAGAATTTTTTCTGTGAAGTTATTTAAAATCAAAGGTGTATTTTAATAGGCCAAATAATTTAGATGAGCTACGGCAAAGAATTCGCGCTGAAGTGGAGTACATTACACCTGAAGTCCTTGAGCGAAGTGTAAAAAGTGTTTACACTCGTATTTGTCAGTGCCAAATGGTTGAAGGAGAGCAATTTAAACATTTACGCTAAATTTTGTTTGTTTTTGGGGTATTATAAGGATTTTCTTTCATTAAGTTAAATTTTGATTTCTATAGGTAAAAAAATTGTTATTTTAGGTGCCAATTTTTTTACACCATCATTTAAGTAATTGGACCATCTATTAACAACATCAAAAAAAAATTAGGGTTGCCATTTAAAAAAACCAATGATGACGTAATTGTGCAAAAATACATGACGTCATAAGTAAAAATTTTATGCCATAAGATAGGTAATTAAATATTAACATTTACCTGTCCGAGCGTTTTGCTTGAAAACATTAAATATAGTCCAATCATTATAGTAAGTTCACCTCGGAATTCGAGATACCCAGCTGTAAGTCTGTAAATACTTGTATATTGACACCCTAAAAGTTGTCTCAAAACCTACATATAGTAGGGTGTACGCATCTATTAAATTTCAAGGTCAAAGGTCACAAAAATCGGTTTTTTTGCGCTTTTTTTGTAAATATCTCATTTCCTATGGGTTTTTTGCTATTTGTATTTATTATCAATATTGTAGAATACAAAATTCTCTAAAAATTTTGTTTAAAAAAATTTTTCATACGGTGAACCGTTTTCGAGATAGATGACGGAGAGCGCGCGGCACAGCATCACTTCAGGTCAACCGGTGCCTCCGGTCGAAAACGCGCCATATATAGTTGATGAAATATCGATAAATCAATGATTATAAATATTTGTCAATTTTTATTAACTATTATATTATATTTTATCATTTTTTTTCCTAACCTATCCACTTTTTATTTAGTATTAATTTATTTAACAACACTTACCTGCCCATGTAATTGCAAAATTGTTAATGAAAATATAGGAATTATATTTGAATTTTAACCTAATTAATATTAATAAATTCTTACATGATGAAAAAAAAAAACAAATAAATTATGAATTAATCTATTTATTAAAAAATTTCATTCAATACATTTATTTTTATTAAAAGTAAAAAAATGGAATAAAAGGTACAAAAACTACAATTTATAATTTTAATAATCTTCTTCCTCTTCATCGTCGTCTTCCGGCTGCTGGTAAATTTCAAACTGGTCTTCATTATCGTCTTCAACGACATTTCTCTCAAGTTCTTCCATGATTTCGGGGTCAAAGGTTCCATCTTCGTTAATGTCGCTCTGATATGGTAGAGCATTGAAACAAGCTTGCCCATTACATTGGCCACAAGCTAAAGAGCATTGCAAGCCCGCTTTCCTGCATCAGCATCGCGAACCACAACCACTCTTGCAGTTGCAGAAAATTGTATTTAGCAAATCTTCTGGAGCAGGTGGTAAAATTGTCATGATAGGCTCCAGAAAATCGTTTCGCATTGCCCAACTCCATACCTGGGGTTCCAAATCATGCCTTAACCAAGTTTGAACTTAATAATATACACGTTTGAAAGGTTGATGAGCAGCTGCTTTTGTTGGTGGAATATTTGAAAGCTGCACAGGTTAATTAAGTTTTGTAGACTTGACGTAATGCATATAACGAAGATGATCGAGACTTTTCACAGATTTCGGAGCATTATAGACTGCCAATAAGATTTGAGTTCCACTCTCTAATAATCTCTGGGCCGAACAATTTTCTTTCTCAAATGCTGCAGCTAGTTCATTCAAATTTGTCAGTTTCTCAAAAACTTTAAAAAATGATTTTTTCCCTTTTTAAAAAGCGCAGAAGTTGTGTCACAGCCACTTAATGCGTGCAGAAATAAAATATGTGTTTTGGAATGAGAATAATTATCAAAACTTTTAGTCAAGTATATCCCCGTTTTTACATTTCCTTTCCCAACTTTTTTAAAGAAAATGTCTTGTTCGTAAGACAGTGTACGCCCAATTAAAATGACAAGTAAATCAATATCTTGTCCTATTATAACTGCAGTTTTTTCAGAATTTGATTCTTCAATTGCAGTTTCAACAATAAGAACATCAGCATTATCTCTGGCTTGTTTAGTAGTAACATTTGCAGCTTGTAATTTTTCAATTAACATATTAATGAGCATATCTTTGTTATTTCGATTTGATAAGAATTTTTCTTGAGTAACTGGTACAACTATTGTTTCATCTTCTCTGCTGCTCCATAGCTTTTACGTTCTTACTGTAATCTGAATTTTTTTAAACAAAATTTGTAGAGAATTTTGTATTCTACAATATTGATAATAAATACAAATAGCAAAAAACCCATAAAAAATGAGATATTTACAAAAAAGCGTAAAAAAACCGATTTTTGTGACATTTGACCTTGAGATTTAATAGTTGCGTACACCCTACCATATGTAGGTTCTGAAATAACTTTTAGCGTGTCAATATACAAGTATTTACAGACTTACAGCTGGGTATCTCCAGTTCCGAGATTCTTACCTAATTTAAGCTTAAATGACTGGACTAATAATGCAATTATGAATTTTGTTCCTTACTTTATCACCACACTGCATATTATTCCTAATTAGTGAAATAAAACATTTGTATGAATATTTTCTTGTAAACCTATTAGAAATCGAAATATTAGCGAGTTATGTTACTTTTTTAAATAAATTTAGATTTAGTTAATCAAATAGTTATTTTTTCACTTTTTTTTGTCTTTATAGTAAATTTTTTAAACCGAAAATTATCGACAGGTGCTGTGGTTGCAAATCGTTTGAGCGAAATAGAAGGATGGAAAGTTCTGTTATTAGAAGCGGGCGGAGACGAAACGGAAATTTCCGATGTGCCGGTCCTGGCAGCCTACCTTCAATTGTCGGCCTTAGATTGGAAATACAAAAGTGAGCCCCAAGGACAAGCATGTTTAGGTATGATTTTTATATCTATTTTTAAATATACTTACAATAATTATTGTTCGATAAAAAAATCGTTTAGATATGGATAATAATTTTATTATCTAATTTTCCTAAGTAGATTAAAACAAAAGATGAAATTGATTTAAGTTTTTAATGGCTATTAAATTTTTTCTCGTCCATGTGATATGAAATATATGTAGGGTGATTCACTGAGGGTGGCGACCGGCCGTATCTCAGAATATCTTGAAGTAGAATTTTGTTTTTGAAAGAAACGCAGAAACAGTTCGATTTTTATTTCAAGGGGGACACCTTTCTACACTCACCGACTTAAAATTCGATCCATTTATTTATTTAAAAATGCTCCAACTTTCAAATGCGAAGGCTGATTTATTTGAAGTTTTTAGCAACTTTTAGATAAAATACTGTAGTTTTAAGATTATTATTCGGACATCTAAAAGAAATTTAGTACTCGCCGGATATACAGGGGGGAAAAGAAAACAATTTTTTCCTCTACTTTTGACACACCCTGTAGGTTAATTCTGCTAGTAGATCTGCACACAATTAACTTTATCAAGAAGACTGATTTGTTTCCAACATTTTGTTTTTTTATTGACTCCGATATCTTAATTTGTTTGTGAAATGTGACGGTTTAAAGAAAATGCAACATTCTTAATTTTTTTATTCAGTTTTAGCAGAATAATACATAATTTTATAAACAAATCAAACAACAAATAAACTAATAATTATTACAAATTAACGGGTATTTTCCCCACGAGCGCGAATAACTGCCTCAATGCGTCGTGGCATACCCTCTATTAGATGTCGAATCTCCATTTGGTCAATCTGATCCCATTCTTGGACCAAAGAGCATCTCTTAAAAAATTTAAATTACTTGAAGAAGGAATTCGGTTATGAAATCGTCTGCCCATCATGTCCTAGACGTGATCAATTGGATTGAGGTCTGGGCTACGTGATGGCAAGTTTATCCTTTGAATTTCTGTTTCGTTCAAATATTGAGATACAATCCTCGCAATATGTGGTCGAGCGTTGTCATGCATAAACATGAATTCGTTTCCTATAAACGGTGCAAATGGAATTACATGTGGATCTAGCACATTACGAATATGCTCCGCCCCCAACAATGACTAAATCAGTACGAGCATGCTTATGCCGCCCCAAACCATTACTGATCCTCCTCCATAACTGAGTCTTGGCAAAAATTTGCTTGGTCAAACCTTTCGCCTCTTCTTCGGTATATTCTTTCACGGCCATCAGGAGAACGTAAACAAAATCTTGACTTATCAGAAAATAAAATCTTACTCCAGTCATCGACATTTCAATGTTGATGCTCCCTGGCAAATCGAAGACGTGCTGTTCTGTGATTCATAAGTAACTCCGGACCAGTTGCAAGTCTTCTGGAACGTAATCCATGTTCTCGTAATCGCCTTCGAATCGTTATTTCGTTAACAGCTACTTGACGTACTTCTTCTAAACGATTTCGAGCCATGACAGCAGTAGTATTTCTTTCTCGCAAAGACATTTAATGTCACAAAACGATCATCTCGAACATTTATAGAACGTCGTCTGCCAGATCTTCTTCGTCTCGAAAAACTACCAGTTTCATTGAAACGTTGTACAGCTCTCTGGACGCTACATCTTGTAACACCCAATATTCTAGAAGCATAATACTGAGACCTACCGTCTCGTACCAGAGCAACTGCTCGTGCTGCATCAGTAGGCGTTAAAACCATGATGTTATGCTGATAATAAATATTTGTTATGCTGATAATTAAACTGCAATTGCCAAGTAACGAATATTTGACAGTTGTCATATTGTGAGTTGGCCACAGCACTCTACTTATTTTGTAGTTTATTCTCTACCGTCATTTAAATTATGACCGTTTCTAAAATGTAGCATTTCACAGACAAATCAAGATATCGGGGTAAATAAAAAAACAAAGTGTTGGAAACAAATCAGTCTTCTTGATAAAGTTGATTTTGTGCAGATCTACAAGCAGAAAGTAGAGGAAACATTTGTTTTTTCTCCTCCCTTGTATATGCGGCGAGTACTAAATTACTTTTAGATGTCCGAATAATAATCTTAAAAATACAGTATTTTATCTAAAAGTTGCTAAAAAATTCAAATAAATCAGCCTCCGCATTTGAAAGTTAGAGCATTGTTAAATAAATCATTATTTTGAATGGATCGGAATTTTAAGTCTGTGAGTGTATATCCTCAACTGTCATATGTCATATATGTCATTCCTCTCCCCTACATCAATCTAACTAATACAATTTAAATAGGGAAAGTACAAAGTATGACTCATCGTTGGAAAAATAATTTTATGGGGAATTCAGCAATATGACTGTTCATTGAGTTTCTTATAATTTTAGCGCCCTCTAGCGGGATAAAAAAATATTATCTATGGTAAAGTGTGACACCTCATTTGAAAGCTAATTTTAATAGTAATATTATGTTAACTATATTAAAAATAAACTTAAAAGGATAAAAGAATGCATTATTATTAAATTTATTTTGTTGCAAGTTCAATATGGATATATCTAGGTTAATGTTATGATGTGCATTGGATTACTAATTACAAGAAGCTATTAATGTGCATATTTTAAATATTTAAAAGTATAAATATAAAAGAAAAATAATATACAGTCCATTATTAACCTAACAACTATAATTTAGAAACTTTCGGCTCTTATTTTTATGTAATAAAAGAATAATTTTATTCTAATATTAGAGGGAAACTTTATATACTAACTGTATGTTTACTACGACTTATTTGAAACTATGTAGTATCAAAATTACGGTTACGTTAAATTACTGCAATTAAAATGCAATTAAAATTATTTTTTTAATTCGAAATTAATAATTAGCAATTAGAGAAAAATAAATATAAATGCGTATTAGGAACATTTCCAGTCAAGACACATTTTTTTCTAATTACGAATTTTCTCTCGAGATTTTTCTATTACGCCTATTTTCTACACAATGACTAAAAAAACCGTTTAGTGGAAACAGAATATTTTGAAAAATTAATTTTTATTGGACTTTATTAAATTCCACGCACTATATCACCCGTGTTTATATGAAACTATAAGAGGTTCATCCTCTTTTAGGCCAGTCATTAGAGATAATCAATTTACATTAATTACAAAAGTTTTCAAACTTTGTTGGAATAATAAGTAAATTGAAATAATTGTAAATTTAATTTTGCTACTTTTATTAATTTCTAGCTTATTTTTGTAGTTTATAAGTGATTTTTTGTATTTTATTATTTTAGTGATACAAATTTTAACAATGGTGATAGTTTGTGTAAGTTTTAAATAGAAATACGAAAAGGCATCGTTACTCATTTCACAAGTAAGTAACCATTATCGTTTCTACCATTTTTTTTAAAAAAACATAAGTACCTACATTTTATACAAAAGGCCATTAAACATGAATTTAAAATAAATGGCAAATTTAGTGAACTAAATTTAAAGAACTTGTATTATAATAATAATAATAATAATAATAATAATATTTATTCATAACATACAGATTAATTTACAATTTACATTTTTTTTTTTTCATAAAGATAGTATTAAGAATAAATATAAGGTTAGAGATAGTTTAAACTAACATAACAAAAGACAGATTAATTAATTTTAGCTCGTTAAAACCGATGTGGTCGTGCACACGAGCAATAAAATTATTAATAATTATGATTTCTTTAGATTTTATAAAAATATAGAAAATAATACTATACAATCTTGTAAAAATGTAACTAAAAGTTGAGAGTAAGTAAGCAGGTAATTAACTAATTATAAAAAGGGTAAAACGTGTGAGTAGTGGAAAGGTAAGTTTAACAACTGTATATTAATTTTATGTTTTTTTTTTTTTTTTTTTTTTTTTTTTTTTTTTTTTTTTTTTTTTTTTTTATATCTATAATATATTAATTATTTTTTTGGTCAATAATAGCAAGAAAGTCCTGTCTGTTTGAATTTAACACAAATTTTTTAAAGATGCTTTTAATCATATTTAATGAATTAATGGTTGTTATATAAATTTTATACATATTGGGCAAGTAATTAAATATCTTAGAAGATAGATATAGAATATTTCTTTGTCCAATTGTTTTTTTACTTATATCAGTAGCTACGAAATTTTTATTTTTTAACCGAGTAGAGTAGTTGTGTTCTATATTTCGTAATATATTTTTATTTTTATAGATGTTCAATATAATAGAATAAACATATAGTTGTCTGATATCCATGACCCTACTCTCCAAAAATAGTAAGTCAGAGGGATGGTCCATTTTTTTATTGTATATGATTTTTAAAATTTTTCTTTGAAGTACTTCTATATTTTTTAGGTGTGTTTGTAAAATACCACCCCATCCAAGAATCCCGTAATTTAATCTTGACTCTACGAGTGAGTAATAGATTATTTTTAGTTGGTTAATTTCTAGTATTGATTTTAGATATTTAAACTTTGAAAGTAGCAATCGTAAACACCTCGCAATGTCTCCAACATGTGCATCCCATTTCAAGTGAGAATCGATTTTAATACCTAAGTATTTTATTTCTTGGGTGTATTTTATAATAATATTTTGCAAGCTAGGAATATATTAATTTCGTTATATGGTGGCAAAGAATTTTTATAACTACTAAAAGGCATAAAATAGGTTTTGTCAAAATTAATTGTTAGTTTTTTACGTCTAAACCAATCGATAATTTTTGAAAAATGTGACTCTATTTTTATTTTTAAATTCTCCCATGTGTCACTGCTGTATATGACAGCAGTATCATCAGCAAAACTGATTATTTTGCCCTCTACTTCAACATCGAAAAGACCATTAATATATACACTGAATAATAAGGAATATTGTTTTAGATTTTGGACTCTACTAAAAAGTAAAAAAAATATTCACAATTTTTCAACTTAAACAAGCTTTTCGTTTTTGACTCATTTTATCATAATAATGTTGAAGATGTTAAATCAATAATTTTTTTTA